ATCTTCCCCTAATGTTAACATTTTACATAACTATAGTACAATTGTCAGAACCAAAAAAAATTAACGTTGGTACAGTACTACTAACTAAAGACCTTTCTTGAATTTTACCAGCTTTTTTTGCTCACGACTTTTTCTTATTCTAGGCTCCTGACCAGATCCCACACGGCATGTAGTTATTTCTCCTTAGTCTCATACAGTCTGTAAAAGCTCCTTTGACTTTGTCTTTCATGACTTTGACTTTTTTGAAGACTACCGATCAGTTATTTTGTCAAATGTCCTGCAATTTGGGTTTGTCTGACGTTTTCTTATGATTAAGCTGAATGTTACGGGTAACATTGTGTCCTCAGTGCATTGTATCAGGTTCAAGATTTTGCTTTGTCTTGTTGCTGGTGATGTTGACCTTTATCACCGGACCAAGGGATCAGGTGGCTTCGGCTAGATTTTGCACTGTAAAACTACTATCTTTCCCTTTGTAGTTAATAGATATCTTGCAGGAGATATTCTGAGACTATGCAAATTCTGCTTCTCTTCAAAGTTCTGCCCACTCATTTTTGCACTCATCAATGGCGCTTGTGTGCGACAATTACTGGTGTTTAGCTCGTGGAAGTGTTTTCTGTAGTTCTTTTTTTTGTCTCTAGGCTTGTGGTATCCAACCGAGGGCTCGTGTTAGTTCTTCCCACCCTTTTTAGTGTAGCTACGTTTTTAACTTACAGTAGGTTCACTTAGTATTTTTTATTCCATTTGGGCTCTCTCCACGTCCCAGGTGGTTTTAGTTATTTCTTTATTTTGGGGGTATGCGGAACACTACCGTTGTTCTAAGAGGTCAGAGCTACACAAGTGTATGCCCTGAGCATCGCTGCCTCCTCACTCCTGCTGCCCGATTCTCATTTACCTCCCTTTCCCATCTTCTTTCCACCTATCCTCTACGGAAACCAGTCTCCTTGGTTTGTAGCTTCTCTTTCCTGTACTGCATTTCTTTTGCACAGACAGACAAATGCAGCATATTTTTATCTTCTTATATACCCTTCTTTCTTAGGGCAGCATTTGTGCTTTGCATTTTTCACTTAGAAATATGTCTTGGCGGGCGCCTGGGTGGCTCAGTTGGTTAAGCGACTGCCTTCGGCTCAGGTCATGATCCTGGGGTCCCGGGATCGAGTCCCGCGTCGGGCTCCCTGCTCGGCGGGGAGTCTGCTTCTCCCTCGGACCCTATCCCCTCTGATGTGCTCTCTCTCTCTCATTCTCTCAAATAAATAAATAAAATCTTTAAAAAAAAAAAAAGAAATATGTCTTGGCAACCACTTTCCATCAATTCAGAGTTCTTCCTCAAAAAAAAAAAAAGCTGCTGAGTATGCCATTGTGTATTGTACCATAAATGTACAAACAGTTAGATTGTTTCCAAAATATTGCAATTACAAATAATACTGCAACGAATAACCTTCTGTGTGTGCCTTTTCCCCATTGTTGGAGAGTATCTTCAAGGGAATGTCACAGACACATATGTACGTATATCTATTTCTTTCCTTCCAATCCTTCTCGCCAGAACAGAGAGCTATGTTGATGTTACTGTCTCTTTCATGCTTTGTTTCTTAGCTCCCATGGCCGTAATCTCTGATAGTAAGCACAGATGGTGGTCATGAGTACTTGAGTCCATTTTCTCAGAAAGTCTTCATTCCCTGACTAGGCCAATAATTTGGGTGGCACCCCCAGTCTTGCATTATGGAAATGGTTCTCAACCTTGTCTGAACATGAGAATCACTAAGAATCTTTTAAATATATCAGTGCCTAGGAATGCTGTAGGTAGATTCTGCAATTAATGCAGAATCTCTGGGTGGGGGGACTCAGGCATTTGTATTATTCTAAGGTGCCCCAGAAACTGCAATGTGCAGCTCAGGTTGAGAACCACTGGGTTAAATCCTTGAAATGTGACAAAAATCTCCTGGCCCTTACCATATTTCCTGTGATTTGAACCAGCTGCCGGAGTGTATCCTGGCTGACTTGGGAGGTGTTCCACTCAGAGAATTCCTGATTTTTACCTGGAGGAGAGGTAAGTACCAGTTGGCTTAATTTAGGAAGATCTGTAAAAGTCTTTAGTGAGATGGAATTTCAACCTAGCCAAGAAATAAGTTTTTTTCAGGTCCTGGATGGCTTAGTTTTTTTTTTTTTTTTTTTTTAAAGATTTTATTTATTTATTTATTTGAGAGAGAATGAGAGATAGAGAGCACGAGAGGGAAGAGGGTCAGAGGGAGAAGCAGACTCCCTGCTGAGCAGGGAGCCCGATGTGGGACTCGATCCCAGGACTCCAGGATCATGACCTGAGCCGAAGGCAGTCGCTTAACCAACTGAGCCACCCAGACGCCCTGGATGGCTTAGTTGTTAAGCATCTGTGGCTCAGGTTGTGATTCTGGGGTCCTGGAATCGAGCCCCGCATCGGGCTCCCTGCTCCGTGGGAGGCCTGCTTCTCCCTCTCCCACTCCCCCTGCTTGTGTTCCCTTTCTCGCTGTGTCTCTCTCTGTCAAATAAATACAATTTTAAAAAACAAAAATAAGTTTTTTCTCATTTGAGTCTGAATGACAGCGACAAGTTGCTTCAGGCCAAGAAGGAAGAATGTTAAATTTCCTTTCTCCCCTTCAACACACAAATCAGGGTACCTTCCTTTGTAGTTGGCAGTATTAATAAGCTCCAACTAACACTTGTAAAACAGAGCCCACTGGTTATACTGTTTTTCATCAAATCAAAAATACCATGACTTATAAGACACACAGTTATGTAACACTAAATAAGAAAAAGCCCATTGCTAAATAATTACGAGATACAATTAAATGGAAGAGATTTTTAAATGTGGGGACATATTCATATTAGAATTGATGAAGTATAGTAGATCTTTAGCCTAAACCTCTTCTTTGAACTCCAAGTCACCTGAATTTTTCACAAGCTCTTTAAACCGAACATGTCCCATGGGGCACCTGGGTGGCTCAGTCGGTTAAGCGTCTGCCTTTGGCTCAGGTCATGATCTCAGGGTCTTGGGATGGAGCCCCGCATCATAGTGATCCCTGCTCAGGGGGGAGCCTGCTTCTCCCTCTCCCTCTGCCCCTACCCCTGCTTGCACACACACTCTCTCAAAAAAATAAATAAAATCTTAAAAAAAAAAATGAGCATACCTCTTTTAAAAAACCCCGAAAACCTAACATGTCCCAGTCTGGACTCTCCATCTACCTTGCCAAAGCTGTTCATTTTCCTGCATTCTCTGCCCTGTCAAACGGAGTCCCCCATTAAACTAGAAAAATGGAAGTTGAGCCAGTCTCCTGAAGTTCTTTGCTTTCCATATACAAAAGATCTTTCCCATTTTATCAGTTCTGTCCCTTACCCCTCTCTTGAAAGCACTGCCTTCCTCTTTCCCTCTGTCGTGGCTTTGGGTCAGGTCTTCCTCATCTCTCCACAGGATTACTGCAGTGATCTCCTACCTGCTCTCTACTCCTTGAATCAATCCTACTTCACACTGTCCTTGTTTTTCTTCTTAAACATCGATCCAATCACATTATTCCTAGCTTAAATATCCTACAAGACAAATACTGCATCCGAAAAACAGGCAAAGTTCATGAACAGGCCACCTCACAGAAGAGAAAAATACACATTGATACATGTGAAAAGTTGCTCATGCTCATCACGAAATAAATGTAACAAAGACAATTCCCCACCTGTGCAACGGGCAGTTTGAGAGAACTGATGGTAACGAATGATTACAAGAGTGTGCAGAAGTACTCCTATTTACGGCTCTTGGTAGTCCAATATTTTGGGACGTCGTTTTCGCCACGTTTTGGGTTTGTGAACGAACGCAAACTGCCTCCTGTCTCTGAGCCTCAATTACTGAATTTGGTCAAATGGGGCTGATACCTACCTTAAGGCCTCAAGGAAGTGAAATAATTCTGGGTAAAGTGATTTGTGAATAATAATAGCTAACATTTTACAGGGCGCTTGCTGTTCTAAGGGCTTCCTATGTGTTAGCTCATCTAACCTTCACAATAATCCTGAGGGTACTCTCATTATCACCCTCATTTTTACATACAATAAAACATTGCCCAAGGGGCGGGGTTACCAAGGAGTGGAGCTGGGATTACGGACTTTAAATCTACACAGGGGGATGTAGCTCGAGTCCTCTTTTTCCAGAAAGCCTACGCCATTATTTTCCTTCTTAGGATAGCCCACAGAACCCATAGTCAAAACTTGTTTGTGTAGCTTTTGCTCTTCGTTAGCAACCACCAACTGGCTTCTCTAATTGCTTTGTGTATCTCATCACAGTCCCGTCTGATAGAGCTCCAGGGACCTCAGCCCACCTCTCATTCCAATTCGTTTTCGCCGTCCTGCTCCTTGCTGGGTATACTGTAAACCCTTAGAGGCCTAACAAATGCTATTGTACATTTCCGTGGGACCAAAGGCATAGCCTTACAAATATGAAGTAATTTTCACGAGACTGAAACATACACAGTAAGAAGGCTACATACTGATGAGTACGCGCCTTGGGGACTAAGAGCTCAGCTCCACACCGCAGCACTGCGGGCGAACCCTTCCCGCTTTCCTACGTCCCTCGGACCTTGCCCGGAACCTTTCCTGCGGCATCGGAAGCAGCCTGCCCGGACATCGCCCCTGAACACACAACACGGCAAGGACTAGTAGTCTAGCTATATGCCTGAAATTTCTAGCTCACTTACATGATCCGGGAGAAAACGGCTTCAAATTCTTGCACTTTTTAAAGTACTAAATGACGATAACATTTTTGTCCCTTAGTCAATAGCGTCCTCAAATATTCCGAGGAGTTTGTTCTTTTTTTTTTTTTGATTAGGCATTTATATGGACAGCCCACTCGAAACGAACAAGGAAGGCGGGGGAAGAAAGCGGAAGCCGCGGGGTCTTCTAAACCAGAAAGTCTCCGGAGCTTGCGCTAAGCTATTTGCGGCGCCCCCGACTTACACGCTGGTCTCAGAAACAGGCGGGGGGGAAAGGCGTCGTTCCTGGAGCTGAGACCAGGTGGCCGGAGTCCTCAGGGATGAAGGGGGGGTTGCTGGGTGAGGAGGGCTATGGTTGCGTCTTAGAAAACCCTTTGGTCCTGGAAAGGAGGGATCCCGGGCGGGAGAGACTCAGGCTGCAATCTTAGGGACGTAGTTCTGCTGTGGATCATTGGGCGTTCCTGTTAAGGAGCAGCAACGGGAGGAGGAAGCCCAGCTTCTGCCTAAGCAGAATGCATTGCCTTTCCCGAGGCTACTTTCATATCAGTGCTGGAGCGGTAGGCACAGTTTGTGACTTCGGTTTGATTACAAGGATCGAAGGTGCTGAAGTAGCCCAGAGCAGGCAGGACCAGAGTTTTTGGAGAAGAGGGAATCTGAGGATGTGAGGCTTGAGGTGCAGCTTGGAAGACTTGTCAGGGGTTTGGGTGCATAGAAAAGTTAGACTGTTTTGTAGAAATACAGGATGCCTAAGGAGGGGAACTTGGAGATCTTCTAGTTGAAGTCCCTCATTGGACAGATGAAAAAAGTCTTAGTGGGTAGTGACTGGAAGGCACTGAGTAAATGGCATAGTTGGCACTGGGATCCAGTTAATCTTGACTTTCTATTTAACTCAACTACCGGGGACGGTGTGTAAAACACTGAGAACTACAGAAGCAGTTGCTTTTTGTCACCCTTTCTGTGAGTCATTTCCTCCCTATCCCTTATCCAAGTTGTTTAAAAACTTAGGCCCTTTCTTCTAGGTTTTCATTAGGTGTTTAGCGTGATAGCCTAGGGGTGTCTGAGGTTTTCCAGATTCCTAAATGACTTGCTGTAAAGTTAAGTTTCTTTAAAAAAAAAAAAACAACACAAAACTCAGAAGTTCTACTGGATGTTAAAAGGGCTGCAAAGATTTTAAAGAATTTAAGGAGCTTTTTGTAAAGCAAGGAGATTAAGGTGATTATCTAAATAGCCATAATATATTGCAGAACATAGGTCTTTAAGGGTCATTACCAAGTGCTAAGAACATTTAGAAGAGGGAGTGAATGTCTTTGAGGCAGGGGAAGAAGGGTATCCAGGAACAAAAAAATCTATGGAGAAGTTGGGAGTTTTGAGTGGACTTTTAAGATTAGTAAAATAGTGACAGACTGAAGCATGAAGGTACAAGGAGAAGTGCAGGTTAGGAATGTTTGAGCTAAGACATCAGTGTGAGAACACCTAAAGAATGTTCCTGCTTGGCCAGGTTGTGGGTACTGTGAATAAAGGGAAGGCCAAGAGATGCTGTCTGTTCTGTGGAGGCTCTTGAATGCCCAGCTGAAAAGTTTGTGTTTTTTCAGGGAGGTAGGGCAGATCCATTGAAGGGTTTTGACCTGGTAAGTAACTTAATCAGAGCTATGATTTTTATTTTTTTTTTAAGATTTATATGACAGCGGAATGCCTGGGTGGCTCGGTCGTTAAGCGTCTGCCTTTGGCTCAGGTCATGATCCCAGGGTCCTGGGATCGAGCCCCGCGTCGGGCTCCCTGCACGGTGGGGAGCCTGCTTCTCCCTCTCCCACTCCCCCTGCTTGTGTTCCCCCTCTCTCTCTCTCTGTCAAATAAATAAATAAAATCTTTAAAATAAAAAAAAAAATTTATCTGACAGCAACATGTCGTTGAGTCTTGGATGGTGTCAAACCACAGTTTGGAGGGCTAGAGTAAATGAGTGATAAAGAAGGCCTGAGCTAGGAAATGGAACGAAGAGACACTGAGGAGGTAGAGTTGACAAAATTTGAGTATTGATTGCGTGTGGTGGTGGTGCTGGTTGTGAGGAACTATGAAGTGAAAATAATGGGAGCCAATGGTGGTATTACTGATAAACTTTTACGGAAATTGGGAAAAGAGAGCATTGGGCATGTTGAGTGTGGATCTGGGGTTCAGGAGGTAGGTTTAGATTTATGAGAGAGATGTGTACTTTTCCTGCAGGTGGGCTTGTTGAAACCTTGTGAGTGGATGACAAGACCGGGGGAAAGGTGGGAGGGGCAGAAAGAAAACTGCAGAGGGCAGAATCTTGGACAATTACCTATATTTTAGAGTTAAGAGGAGGAATAAATGATAGTAAATTAAGAGTTATATAGTACTTAGTAGCTAGGCAAATTTTTGCATGCTTCTATATATTTATCCATATAGAGGCGGGAGAGGATACTCGGTGTGCGCTCAGAAGCCAGGTGAAGAGCACTTGAGGCTGAGAGCTGAGAAGGGGCTGCTTGGTATAGTCCTTAGGCACTTGGCACCCCTCAGCAACTTGAGTGGAAGCCAGATTACAGTCATTTTAGGAAGGTGTGGGAGGCGGAGTGGAGACCAGAGGTCGACCCTTATTTTTAAAAACTTCAGGGTGGAGGAAAGGTGATAGGTAGGCTAGTACATTGAAAGAAGCAGCCCTGGGAAAGGTTTTTCTTGAATGATACATAAGATTTGGGAGGGTGAAATTTAGGAATATTTAGCATTGGAAGTTTAGACAATTTATTTTTAAAGATTTTATTTATTTGAGAAAGCGCGTGTTGGGGGGGGCAGGAGCAGAGGGAGAGGGACAAGCGGACTGATTCCATGCTGAGTGTGGAGCCTGATGTGGGGCTTGATCCCTTCACCCTGAGATCATGACCTGAACCGAAATCAAGAGTCGACACTTAACTGACTGAGCCACCCAGGCACCCAAAGAAGGTTAGACAATTTAAAAGAAGGCTGGGCCCAGAAATCTACATTTCTATGGAAATGACTGAGGTTTAAAGGAGAAAGTTGATTGCAGATAAAAAGCTTGAAGGAGCAGAAGTGAGTGATTGTGGGAGCATGCATATGAAAGAATATCTGGCCGGATAAAGGAAAGGAATGATAACGTGCTCCTAATGTGAACTCAAGATACTAATTTTAAAATTTCTGCAATCACTTTTGAGCCCTTGCTATGTATCCAACAGTATGCACTGGAGATACAAAGTTAAGAGTTTTTCAGAACTATTTTTACTACAACTCACAGTAAGAAATCTCTTTTTCTTCTTGAGGGAGAGGGCAGGGAGGGGCAGAGGGAGAGAGAGAGATCTTAAGCAGGCTCCATGCCCAGTGCTGAGCCCGATGCGGGGGCTCGATCTCACAACCCTGAGATCGTGACCTGAGCCGAAATCAAGAGTCAGATGCTCAACTGATTGAGCCACCCAAGATGCCCAAGAAATCCGTTTTCTATCACAACTCATCATATATTCAAATATATATAACTGAGTTTCTCAAAATTATACTTAATCCCTGTTATGCCCAGTGTCCTCTGATGTCTTCTGTTCTAATCTATTAAAAACCTTGTTGGGGCTCACTAAATTGATTTATCCACTTATGGTGGGTTGGGTCCTACTGCTTGAAAAACACTGAGATAAGATACAGCCTTTGCCCTGAATAAGTATTTAGAACTAGGGGGAGCGAAACATAAATAATTGTGTCTAATATGGAACCGTAATAAGTGAATGCATTATGGGAGTTCAGCTGAAAGCAATTAATTCTGCATTGTTGAGGTTGGCAGTAGAATTTGGGGATGATAAGCATCATTTAACCCAGACAGTACAGATAGGGTAGGGTTTTTCCAGAGGAAGTAGTTAGAGAAGGTAATTAGTGCAGAGAAGAGTTGAGGCAAATGTTCTGAGGCATGACTGCATGTGGTATGTTCACGAAATGGTCAGTGATCTACAGTTGGTGCTTAGGGTGGTTTATGCGAGGTTCTGTACTAGGTGCTGATGGGAAGTTAGCTAAAAATGCCATGGAAAATACTGGTTGGGGCCAGAATGAAATCACTTTTTTAAAAAATTGTACTTAAAAGTTTAGTATATTGTGGGGTGAGGAAGATTTTTAAGCAGCTAAGTGACAGGTGAGATTTGGGTCTTCAGAAGTTGGCTGTGGCAGCTCAGTGATGGAGGCGAGACTGGAGTCGAGGACATGTAGTAATTACGGTAGTGAAGGCATCGGATGAGGGTGGGGTGGGATCCGTTATCTAGACACCTGCAAGTTGCATTTCTCTAAAAGAAACGCCACCGACTTGTGTCTTCACTTGTTAGATTGAGGAAACAATGGAAACTGCTATTCCGCACCTAACCGTTATAACAGGGAGGAATTGGCTGGAATCGAAAATAATAGGGCCGTTGGGAGAAAAGGTTCGTGCAGTTTTAGAGCTCATGATAATCAGGTCTTTAAGGAGGTGGATGTTTAGCAGTGTAGAGAATAGACCTTATTCCATGTCAGGATACCAGGAGGAAGAAGGCTGGAAAGGCCTGCAAGCTGAAGGGCAGTTTGGAGAAAGAATCTTCACAGGACAGAAAGGAGGAGGCCCCTGGGGAAGCTGGTGTGGCTGCGCTGGAAGCAGGGTGAACTCGGATTCCGGAAGGGCGGCTACAAAGAAAGGGCGCATAGCTGAAGCGAAGGTCTAAGCGGGCACAGGCTTGGAAGAACAGTGTCAGGAAAATTAATGTGGTCGAAGGCCAAGATTGTAAAAGTGAGGCAACTAGAAAGGATTTGTAACATTATGTGGAGAGTGAAGAGTAGAAAAAGTTTCCTGCTTGGTTGGGCTGGTTGGTGTAATACCAAAATTATTCATTCAGCACTCAGCAAAGACCTTTTGTGTGCCTCCTGTGGGCTTTATTGGCAGAGGGGAGGTGGGAAGCTTCTAATTTTTCTTTTGTCTTTTCTGGGGAAAAGGATGGTTTTTTGGAACAAATAAAGTGAACGCTGGTTGTTGCCAAGAAAAACCCTCAATAGGTGGAGATTTTAGGTAGGTCACTTAGCTCACTTCTCTTGGTTGAATTACATTCCTTGGCCGTGACAGAGTAACTGCTGGTGATCTTTGAGATTTGTGGAGAGAAAGGAAGATGTACTGAAGGAAAGCAGATGGACACATTTTGACTTTCAATAAAGGGTAGGTGTGTTGTGTTTTACAGATGATAGACTAATAACCTTGAGGTCAGATTTGGGCAAGATTCTAGAGGCTTTTTAGTGTAGTTAAGAGTATGGTTTCTGGGTCAGGTTCCAATTTTGCTGGTTTTTAACTGTGTGAAGTTGGGAAGTGACTTAACCTTGAA